CCCCCCCCCCCCCCCCCCGTCACTTCCTTTAGCGGGAGGGGCCACAGCACAGGGGGAGGGAAGCTTGGCCCAGGGGGGCGGGGAGGGGGCGGGGAGAGAGCCCAGCAAGAGTGGCAGGGCTGGGGGAGCTGGCCTTTTGGGGCTCTGAGCCTGAAGGGAGAGGTCAAAGATTGATGGCAGCCACTGCCAGACCCCAGAAGACCCCTCCTCCAACTCAAGGACAGGGGCTGCAGCAAAGAGGACTCAGGCCAGCTGGCTGCAGGACTGACCGTGGGCTGCAGGTCTTCAGGGTGATCCCAGGAAGCATCTGGGCAGCTCAGGTCTCTTTTTAAAACCAGGGAAGGGAAGCTCTGGGCTTCCCGGGGCGAACTTCTTCCTGAGATGCCTCTGCTGGTCCTTGCTCCGGAACGGACCTGGGGGCCATGCATGTTTGTGTGAATGTCAGGCGAGGGCAGCGGGAGTGGAGGGACCAGCAGCCAGGTGCCCCTGAAAGGTCCCAGACTTTGGATGTCAGATCTGGATTTAACAACCCCCGGTGCTGCTACTTCCTGGATGACTTGGTCTCTCGGTTCTCTTATTGTCAAACGGGGACTCGGGGACCTCCCAGCAGTGCCTGGCACGTGTAGGATCCCTTGCAAGTCTGCTCTTGTTCTGATCTTTGGGAGACCAGCTGACCGCCTACTAGTCTCCTCTGGACATTTGAGAAAATGGCATTTCCAAGAGATTGTCCCATCCCCATATCACTCAGCGAGGAGGTGGCCGAGGCAGAATCTGATCCTGGGAGAGCCTGGCAGGGATCCTTATCCAGATTCATCTTTGGTCCGGGGTCAGGACCCGCATGTCTCTGTGCCCGGGAATCCACACCCGCATCCTCCTAGAGGTTTTCCAGACGCGGCGCCCCCTGGTGGCCACAGCTGGGAAGGAGCCCGTCTCAACCTCTGAGCAGGTTTGCTGAATGGATGGGCTCGGTGCCTGCAAACTTCAGCAATAGCTCCGGCCTCAAAGAGTGAATAAATGAAAGCAGGAAGATCCCACCTTGTTGGGGGCATCAGGGGAGGCTTCTGGGAGGAGGCAACGTTTGTGCTGATACCGAAAGGTAAGTTGGAGTCAACCGGGTAAAGAAAGGCAGGAGGGTATACCTGGTGGGGGAAGCAGCTCAAGCAAAGGCCTGGGGATGGGAAAGGCCTGGGGCAATTGAGGAACTTCAAGGAGGCTGGTGTGGCTGGAGCATGTGGAGTGACGCGGTGTGTGTGGTGGCCAGGATGTCAGGTGCCAGGCCGTGTGGCTTCGAGAGCCTCCGTGAGAAGCTATGTTTTTGTGTTAAAAGGACTGGGGTCGTGTCTATGTTGGCAAAAGTCCCCTTCCACTTGCTAGGGACGACTCGTGAGGGTCTGGATGTGCCCCGGACGAAATGACATAAATCCACGCACATGAGGAAATCTACACAAGACAGAACTTTATTGCTGTAGGGCTTCCTGGCGAGGAGTGTCTGAGCCCCAGGGCAGGGCCTGTAGCACCATGATAGGGGTGGCCTGGATGTTAGGGTCCCCCTGGGGCAGGCAGGCAGGGCAGAAGTTGGGGTGGATCTTGCCCCTGGGCAGGTCAGGGGAGGGTGTCATGGAGGTGGTGCTAATCTCCCTCCCCCATAGCAGACATAGACATCCCCTCCAGCTCAGAGTGGAGGGGTAAGGGCAGTGCTGGGGGGGCAGGCACCAGCAGACCCCCTCTCAATCCCCACTCTTCACAGTACATATTCCAATCAAAGGGGGGGCGGAGGGAGTTTTGGGGACTTCTTAAGGGCACAAGGCGCTGGGGAGAACAGTTGTCCCCTCCCGAGACGTCTTACTATGTGAACTGGGAGAGGGGCTGAAGAGGGGCCCTTGCAGGTAACCAGCCCCTCTCCATCCCCCAGCCAGGGGCCCTGCAGGGGTTCCCAATAAATAACTTCCGACTTCATCTCACCCTTTACTCCCAGCTCCCAGCCCCTCGGGCCCCTTCTGGCCTGCCAGCTGCAGACCAGGGGCGTGGCCCCCCCCCCCC